ACATCGAGACCCTCCTCACTTGAGATTTGAAAAAAATGGAAATTGTTCATAATTTGCGAATGTTCCAAATTTTTTATTGTCTCATCTGAATGGCATTTAAGCCAGATACAAAATCCGAAATCTGATCACAGCTATTACCTTTCGTTCTCGAAATAAGGAATTGTTTATACGAATTACTTTACGTTTATACCGGACTTGTGATTTATGGCGAGCGCGAGGGGTCTGTCGGGATAGGGTTGTGACACGGCACCACCCCTCTAGGAGTGGTCGGACAGCTGACTGCTCCTTCTTGGAGTCGTCGACCGGGCTGGTTGTTGAGTTGCTGTCGGGTTCGTTGAGTCAGAGTAGTGAACGCATCTTAGCGAGTGTGAGAGGCAGTAGCAGTTAATAGTAGAGAAATAAGTCAGGGGGAGGTAGAGAAACTCAGTATATTTGACTAGTGAGTTTAACAGTTCGTTTGAACTGTGGAGATTTGTGAGGAACTGAATACGAGGCGCAATAGTTGCCGCGAGGTGCATATTTAAGTTGCGGTGAACCGGCAGCGAGAACTAATACAAACAGACCTATAACTGAGAGTGTACCGCAGACGACGCCAGGGACGCAGATATGCCGTTTGTAACGTAAGGACAGTGATACGCGTCGGCGTGCCGCATGTGAAGAGAAGAGCGGCGGAAGAGAGAAGAATTCGGGAGCAGATTCGACGTGGATCTGGTGGAGGGCGAACGAGGCCGCGCTGTGAGCGGCACAACTAGTTGTGCTGTAGTACTACGAGTAGCACAGTGAGTAGTAGTACTACTTGCTGTCTTAGCAAGAAGTACAGGGAAGCGAGGCGACGGCCAGGCCCGAGAGTAGGCCAAGGTCGTGGACCCACAGCACGGACTTCGCCGGCGAGAAATTTTGAAACTTTCCAAAATTCAGAATTAACCGTGTAAATCGGATCTATGCCACAATCAGTGTATTTTACTCTATTTTTACAAGAAATTTGAAGAAAAAATTTCAAGCTGTTTTTGAGAAAATTTTAAAAAGATCCGGGGGCTACATGTAAAGTACTCCCAAATTTTGAAGAACGTTTTCCAAAATCGCGGCGCCTCGAGTCGATGTAGATTGACCGGGGAATAATCATTTTTAAAACAATCTTACGTATGGTTTAGGCACTAATGGTGTTCACAGACGGACGGACGTTTTGAAAAAAACACTTTTTCGGAATCAGGGGACTCCAGAACGTTTATTTCCGTTGAAATCTCAAAATCGATTTTCCGCAGCATTACAAAACGTACCCTATATTGCAACTTTCTCTCCAGACTAATCTTCGCGGTGGTAAATTGATCGGTTCTTCATCCTTAAAATTAATCCTCTGCATGACTTTCGCCTTCACCTCCTCTGGTTTGTAGTTAACTACGAGCTGTTCGACCTGACTTTTATAAGGTTCAGTAGCGTCAATTTCGGGCGTTGCCACCCTTTCCAAAATCTTTCCGTTGGAGCCCCTGCATTCGGTGTCTCTGCCCAGATTGCAGCCCGTTTCATAGAAATATCCCCCTGCTTGATTGTCACATTCACTTCCTTCATTCATTCGTGCCTCAAAATAAATTCAATATTCATGGTTTTCTCCGGTACGACGTAAACGGGAGTACTATAGGTCTCGCAGTCAATGTCAATTTTCCATTCTGCCATCCCCATGGTTTGCATTGTGGCGTTCTCCAATCCCGTAAATAAACGTGTCGTCTTCAGAGCTGGACCTCCCAATTTCTAGTGTACGTCCCACTGTATCAGGTTTACATCACTTCCCGTATCCATCAGTGCACAACATTATTTTCCATTTATTGTACATTCGCGACAGCTGGCGGGCTGCCTGACGACGCGCTCGACGAACTTGATCGCAATTTTGCTCTAGCTACGCCATTTTCTTGGAAACGCAACATACCCAATTCCTCTTCGCGTTCGCAGAGGTCTCTACTCCTTTTCTGCTCGAGCTTACCTAGTGCAAGACTATTGACCGTGTCTTGCTCGCCTACCTTCGAGCTGTCGGGCTTTTCACCTTCTTTAAGGTCAACAAACATTAGTGCGGCCTTGTAGCGTTCTATTAGCACCATTTTCTCCCCCATAGTTGACAGACCTACCAATGTTTCTATAGCTTCATCGCTTCAATTGCTTCATCGTCCACATTGCTATGTTTTTTTCTTCCCGGCATGGCCGTACCTTCTATGTATCTCTTCCGTTTCGACCTCTGCTTTTTTCATCTCCCTCTCCTCACTACTGCTTATCTTGGTGGTCGATGAGCGGTGTCAAGGCGGACTGCGATTGACTGCGTGGTGCGAGGATCGGAGGCTGCTAGTACGGATACTTAGAACTGGATCATATGGAATTGAATTATTGAATTGAATTAATGCCATTACGTGGCGAGACTCGGGTATCAGACCCGCTCTTCCGTCTGACCACGCTTCTTTCGCTGACCACGTTTCGCCACTTTTGAATTTAGCTCAGAGGCGTCATTTAGGCTTGAGGATCTTTTACATGCAAGTAAATCTACTAACATGGGCCAGCCGGCTTTACTTCCCCTCCGAAGGAAAGCGTACGAAGAATTTTTTCGCCCTTAAAAATCGGCGGCTTCGATCGGGTTTGAACCCGCCAACTTGGGTACAACAGTACGCTAAACGTCACACCATCGCCGCTGCCGGGGACGATGGACGTCGTGCATGGAGTGAGATTGGTCGCTGTATGAAAGGCGAAACTATGGTGGCCTGGCCCGTGTGGATTGGCTGAGCGCGGTGGACCGAACGTATACAAAGACGTGTGGTAAGAGTGCATAATCCCAGGAGACCCTGAATAGCCGAACTGGATGGTGATTGTGCTGGAGGCAGCCTTCTAATTGCACGGCAAATATTACGAAATCCTAACGGCAGGAGTCGAGCAGTGTGGCGGAAGTGGAGGGAAAGAAGCAGCGCCGAGAAGAGGCGGCGGCCAGAACTGTGTCACCCCATCCGACCCGAGGGTCGACGGACCTGCGTGGCACCCACGAAGACGCCGGCCACAGGAGGTACCTGCGAAAACTTAGGTCGTATTCCATAAATATTTATACAGCATTGTAGGCTTTCACGGTCGGAGTCAATATTCTTCATGTCTTCCGGGCTGATGGGCCGTGGTCCAATTGCCTTTGAGATACCAAACGTTTCGCCCACGACTGCGGTGGGCATCTTCAGTGGCGAGGGCTCGGGCGTCTCGCCAGTCAGCCACCGTCCCGAACACTTCGCCCGAGACCTCGCCACTGAAGATGCCCACCGCAGTCGTGGGCGAAACGTTTGGTATCCATAAATATTGTTGCGATCAGTGGTATTGAGAAAGGGAGCGTCAAAGTCAGAGGGGACAATTGTGATATGGTATCAACGCCGGAGAGGGGATGGTGGTAGAGGCAGAGATCAGCCAGAAAATAGTATGCGTGATAATTATTGTAGCATGTTAGAACATTACAAGTGTAAATAATTGAGCAGTAATATAAATACTATTAGCCATTGGTGGAAATTGGCCACATGCTAGGGTATAAGTGATTATATGTGATGTGTTTATTTTACACGAATGTTATATTGGAGTTCATGAGAATTGGGTTTTTTTATTACGTAGCTCTCGAGATCTCACACCTGATTACTAAAAGTTGTTCCGGCTGGGGCGGTTCCCCGCTGACGGAAGGTATCTCGAGGGAGAAATCCTCCAGATATGCTCTACTCCTATGGGCCTAAAGACCATAACAGTTGGGGAAATTATCAATCAATCTGTTTGTGTCCACCTGCCCCGCCCCTTCCGATTACGCTCCATGCCTTGGCATATTCGCCCCGATCGTTGTTGCAGCGTAAGGACACAGTGACAATTTCGAGAATCATTTATTCGAACCTAATTATGCTACAGGATTAAATTAAAATGCATTTACTATAAAGTATTAAATATTCTTCCAGAAGTATTTAATTAATTATAGTGGATTTTTCATACATTATCGAAATAATCGTGAAAAACATAATAAGAGTTTTACACTTACATTTCGTGTTAAGGTCTAGGGAACGAGGTGGAGTAATTTTACAAAATCGCATGTAGATAGTAACTTTCCCTTTGTTTTGAATTTAATATGTACACAATTTCATTAAAGTTGCAATAAAGCTATCGATTTCAATATAAAACAAACACATTGTTCTTTACATAATAGAAAATAATGATTTGAAAAAGAAACCTATGTTACGCCTGACAAAAGCCTTCCAGTGTAAACCGAATCAAAATCGATTTAGCCCTTCCACTGATGACCTCGAACAAATACGGGAACAGACAAAAAGTGAGATAGCATTAAAAAGGATTTTTATGTTCTGTAAATACCTTATAAGATTCTAAACGGCAGTGATTTTGAAATCACTGACTGGTATTCCAATTTTATTTATGTAAAAGATAATTTACTCTGATCAATAATGTAAGAAAGTATGAGGGTAATTGGAAAACCTCCTGATCGGATGTTCAAAAAACTCACCGCTGACCGCAAGAATAAACGTCTACCTGAAAGAAGCAATTCTAAAACCATGAGGAAAATTATGAACTTAACAATACACGTGCGTTCATTTATTGCGCATTTATCAAACGAAAGAAAAATGGATTCCCTTACCAGGTCCAGGTTAAGACAAATCTAGAAGTAGCTGTTTAAAACCAATTTGCAGAGCAATTATTTACTTTTGTGCATATAATTAGAAATTAAATAGTTCTATATGGTGGCATATTTGTGTTTCGTGGTGACCGGTTGGTTCAGTGCTAGCTTAAGATAGCTAAATATTAGTGCATAATTCATAATATCCCCTGTTCTCTCAGAGTTCCGAGGGACAACCGTCGTTATATTTTTAAATTTGAAAACTTGTTGCACCCGCCTAAAAAACTTGCCCTCAGTAACACAAATTATGATTACATCCATAGTCATAATGTGTATAAAGGTTTGGTTGTAAAAATGTGTATTCTAATTAAACATTTCTTTATTTTAGGAAAAGTGGAATAGAAGAATTGTGTGACCCTGTTCGAAAGATTGAATGATCCGAGCCATTGTACAGCCCAGTCATCTCCGAAGTTGAAAGAAATGAAGATGGTGCTGGAGACAATATTGTAGACTTATTAACGACTATAGGTGAGTGACACGCAATAACTGTGATATGAATTTGAAAATAATGAGTACATTTCCACTTTAATTCCAGTAATGTCAATCATTTTGTTTTTGTGCTCGTGACAAACACGTATTCCGAAAGAATTATCAGGGGGTGTTTCTGCAATTATGATTGTAATTTTTTAGAATATAGAAATTTGAATTCTACTTCATGTATTTAGTAATTATCTTTTTCTCTGCTCATGTAAGTGGCATCTTTTGAATAATGTACTTGCATAACAAATTGTCCATATCTATTGAGAAGCTAGTCACGTGAATGATTTCAATATATTCCCTCTACAATGCTAATAAAAGTCAGTTATTTGAAATTTAAATTTTGTATTAGAAATAATTTTTCTATTTCAACTTATGCAATTGTAGATTCTCTTAATCTCACCATGTCTTTAACATATGCATGAAGGTTGTATTGTTCTCTTAATAGTGAGTGTTATCAGTGAAAAGAATTATATTTAACTCGAAGTATTAAAAATAAACAAGTCTCTCCATCATAAATTTACTACCGACATTAAATATGTACGAAAATGTGTGGAATTGAACTTTATTATATGAATTGTGTGGATATGTTCGAAAATAAGAAAGTAATGTCAATAAAAATATTTGTATAGAATAATTACTTGTTACATATTTCTTATGAAAGATTTTTAAAAATGGACGCAGTACTTACTTTTTCGTATGATGTAAAGTTTATGGAAATTTGATGTACAGTAAACTCGCTATTATCCGAGTAAACTTAGGCTCCGTGTTAACCGAGGCATTTAATAGAAAAAAGAAACAACATAATTTATTGACACACAAGTACGTAAAGGAATTGTAATAATTATACGGCGCATGCGCTGGGAGACGCCTTGGAACGACCTCGAATTCGAGAAGTCGTCAGATTCACTCGTCAACCATTAAGTTCGTCGTTTGACATCGCACTCTTTGTGCTAGCTGTCTATCTATGACAGCGGAACCGTGTTCAATTACTTGTATTGTGTACTGTAATTTGTGTTTTTACGTTTGATCCTTTACCCACTGCGGATTATTCGATTTTCTCGAATCCAAGGGTTTTGGTCCTAACTACCTCGATAAATGCGAGTCTACTGTATTACTATTATTATTATTATTATTATTATTATTATTATTATTATTATTATTATTATTTTATGAAATGCATATATTAATTGCAAGACAACGAATGTGCAGAAATATTTATTGACAGACGATTACTGTCTTTGTTCCCTTTGAAAGTTGGTAAATGCTTTAGAATGGATTCAACATGTCCAGAATGTAGTACGTCTCGTAAATTGTTTTGTCTCTGATTCTTTTGCATTTGTCATTGTGGTGTCCAGTGAATACTTGTATGCTTATCGTAATTTAAATTCCAGTGGCAGCTCGCGCCAGTTGTTGCATGTTTGCGTTTCAATAAAAAATGTTTGCTATTTTATACTTATATATTGCGCTAACGATAGATGACGGTTTTTGACACTTAGTAATAAAAACCATCGAACACAAAATCTTGTAAATGTGTTACTGTTGAATAGAGATGTGGGTGTTCTATTGCTGAACTCTCAAGTTCTGCATTCACAGATATAAGGCGAAAATAATTCAATTTTCAAATAATGAAATTAAAAAAAGATTTTTGAAACCACATAATCACCCATAGCTTGGAGACGATGCGTCCTAGACCCCTTATATCCAGGTTTTTGGGATTTAAAACGTGTGTCCCGAAGACAATTTGTATGGAGACAGGGTGAGTTCTGTGGGAACACGACGTTTGTGACAGTTGGGGATCAGGTGGAGCCCGAATTATCTTTCTTCGGCAGCATTTTACAACATAAGATATTTTTGAACTATTACATGTTTGGAAACTTAGTTCTATTAGGTGCTTCTACTTCATACAATGGGTGGTAAGAAAAATTGCAGAAACATGAAATTTATGTAAAATCACTTCGTCAAAAAAATCATTTACGATAAAATTAAAGAGACTGCTTGATTTTCTGTGCAATTTAATCTCGACGATTAGCAAAATTAGAAGGGTCACTTTTAAGTCACTTGTCTTGTTACTGTCGTGAATCATAATCATTTCAGAATTTTCTTACATTAACAGCTAATCGTGTATAAGTGATCTGTCCATATTCCACACACCTGGTGTTTAACTCCGAGATGCTATCTACGCGCCAGATTTATAAAACCAAAGAGTACTATACTTACAGTCGCCCCTCCGTATCTCTTCCTGCACATGCCAGTGAAACCGCTTCAAAAGTGCGCGTCGCCATATTCGTATAACCTTCCTAACGAATGTTACTATATGGGCACGCAATACATAATAGTGTTATTTCGTAAAATGTTTGATACTTTGAGATATTTAAGTAACACTATTTACGTATAAATATAGAACATATTTCCTGCGAGTAGTGTCATTATTTACAGTCAATACATACGTTTTATTATCTGCATTCGTGTCATTGTACGCAAGTTCTTCTAATTTTATCTCTAAGTTAAAGAAGTTAAAATTATTTGTCCAATAATTTTTCGAATGCAAAATTTATAGGCTGATTTATCCTTTGGTTGTAGCTATTGTATTAAAATAATAATAATTTACCTCGTTAGCGTACTAGGTATTAAATAATTCACACTGGCCAAGCAAACTCATATTTTAATTATGATGGATGTCACCAATTGTAGGGAAATATAAATAACATACAAGTCATAAAATTCCACCATTTATCCAAACCAAAAAACATGTACAAAATTTTGAAATACAGATCTTAGAAATTATTAATTTGATTGGTACCCGAATTTCGTTAGCCATCAATACCTCTACTTCGAGATAACACATTCCAAAGGCTTCGACGAAGAGTTGGATTTATATACACATACATATATACAAAACACATTAATTCACAAAACACACATTAACACATACATATTTACAAAACACATTAATTTAAATGAGTAAACACATGTTGCAATTTCTAATTTACACTACTGTGCAAAAAAGATAATGGGTTTTGCATAATGTTGCCTGATTTTTGAGTTGTGAAGATTATCGTTCACATTCTTTCTGTGACGATGAAGTCTAATATGAAATATTTTGCAGCAATTCATAAGCCTTAGAAAGTGGTTGTCTTCTGGTTTCTGATCAAGAAAGTAATGGCAAAGGTTTTCAAACAAATTTTCGGTAACACACCTTTCAAATACGTAAATAATCAAAGTCAAGTGCTTGACAAACTGACACGGTATTGTTTGTTTTCCCATCAAATTGCGGTAGGGTTTTTCAGAGAATAAACATACTGTAATTAATTTGATGGTATGGGCGCCAATCCTGTATTCTTCTGCACAATATACACGCGTGGAAGATTTTACTCGACACTATGTTTTATCCCTTGTTCGTGCAACCAAATGCAACGCAGGCGGTGCAACCAAATGCAACGCAGTATACTATTTTTCTATCACATGATAAGCTCCTCTAAATTTATATGAAAAAATTAGGACTTCGACAAAATGGAACAACACTCAATAGAGCCTGGTTGGGTTGTACCAATATGGCCGCCTCACTGGCTTCATTAGTTAAATCTATTGATGCCTGATTATAGTACTCTTTGGATAAAACAGGCGATGATAAACCGTAGGCTGACAACAGAGGCTAGAGGGGCGTTAATTAACATATAGTTTCATGATGTCAGTCAACCATCTCAAAGATTCCGATATGGTAATAGGGACCGTGAGAAGGTGTCCGCAAATTCTCTCTCGGACGCGGGTTAATCACAATATCCAAACGAGGGCAGGGGTGAACAAAGTCTTCACAGTTGGATGAGCGAACGTCATGAGAAAGCAGTGCGTTAGGGGCACGAAAACCGTTGGTATTTTATAGACACTTATTAATTATACAAATATTTGAGTGTAAATTTACGTTGAAGTAGGAAACATACAGAATCATTGTTTATCTGACAAAAAATAAGATAAACTAACGCCTGCCCTCTGCGATGAGTTGAACGCCGTCTAAGCCGAGGGAGAGTTCTTGGCTATTTTCGAGAATTCGCAGAGCCATGCAGACGCGTGGGTTTCTTGGTGAAAAGAACTGGGCCATCCCGTCACATACTTTCGTGAATCACCCCGACATAAATTAACAACTTCACGAGCGGCCATGGTTAAATTGGGAGGCGTACTGGTCAAAACACACTCATTAACATTAGTTTTTCACCCTGTAAGTAACAATGTTAAGTTGTTGCACGGCAAATAAATAACTCGTCTCAAAAAAATCACTTGTCAATTCATGCTATTCACGTTTTTTTATTGCGGACACCAATATCCGGTAGTAATTTATAAATGTATGTATATAATATACAAGTTTTTGAAATGTTTTTTTTTATTTTGTTATTTAAGAAAACATTGAAATATTGTTCGACATTTGCACATTTCAATGCCTGTCGTATTGAAATATTTCTTTGTAAATAAATTGTGTTGTGTTGTGTTGTTGTTACTTGCAAACATTTTAGAAAATAGTTATTTGTGCTTGGTCAAGTATTTGCCTTGACGAGGTATATCTATCGTCACTTGTATGAAAAATAAATTGCTTTTCCATTGGAAGAAATTCCAAAATATGTGTGTTTTCTCTATCCATCTGTACCAGCTGTTAATATCCCGATCCTGTATTGCGACCTCCCTCTGCCTCGCGCAAGAGTTTAATGCGACCACCGGCAAGCTGGAGAAAAAGGACCGTCGCAGATTTCCTTCTCAAGGGATTTGTTTACTGGAGATCTTTGGCCTTGATTAAATGACAAGTTCATTATTACATTCACAACACAACCACCACACTTTCGTTCGAATGAGCACTGGGTATTTGGGAACAAAACACAAAAACATCCCTTTTTACAATACATTTTAGGCTTTATGCAAATATTTACAATTTTCTGCTCAAAGGAAAAAAATCAGTCATTGCCTTTGGTTCTCGAATCCTATCATAATAAGTTTCCATGCTATGAAATTATATGGTTTTGCTTTTTGCTTTTGCTATTGGTATCATTTGGAGACTATAACATTTCTTATGAAAAATAAATTAATAAATTGTACCTTTTGTTAGTTGTAATTAAATAATAAATTTGTAAAAAAGGCCAAAGTCTTAAAATAAGAGAGACGTTAAGAGTCACAATGAAGGTTAACTACAAAAAATAAAAAAGGAAAATACGTCGATACATAGCAGTGCACAGAAGATCATAAACAGTGAATTTTGTCCCTTGTAGCTAGAAATGCTAGATACTACCCATTTAAATAAGTGGGCAAATAATTTCGCAGCATGGAAAGGCAAGGGGTAAGGAAACCCAAGCGCATGCAGTAGTCTCAAATTGGCAAAAACTGAAAACACATTTTTCAAATGATCTTGTCTAAAATGATGACACTTTTTAAAAGTAAAATATAATATTATTCAAACGCTTTGAGTAAAACATCAGTTAAAGTATTTGAGATGCAATTGGGTGAAAAAATAATGACATATTGTTCAGCAAGGTGTCATCTACGCTGTTTTGAATGAAAAGCATCACTTACTTTTTCAGTCAACTGTTTAAAACGTTTCTATTATTTTTGTTACTAACTATTTACAGTTCTTACCACAAAAACAAATGTACTGGTGTGAAGATGAAGACTTGTGTGTTGAAGCCGTAAGGAAGTGTTTTAGTAGGATTAGGTATTTAGAAATAAAGAACAATTTACATTTCACTGACAACGTTGAATTGAACAAAGTAGTTTCAGTGAGAAAGGCCTTCAAAATCCTCTTATTGATCAGATGAATGGAACGTGATCACACTTCGGCGGTTTTTCCAAGCACATCAGCATCATCACGGATAAGTTATTATAGTCATTACTAGGGGGCGGATTTTAATGAAAAGTCATTACTTTTTTTTCACTTTAGAACAATGCCGTTAATATAGAAATTCATTTTAATGACAAAACGAAATGACCCATTTTTATAAATAATGTTTTTGCATTTATCGTCGATTTTGACTAATAAGTTATTTTTTACCTTTTACGTCATTTTAAATCCAGTTTTAGCTGATTTCATCGGTTTTTATATAATTTGAATGGCATTTCCTTCAAACAATGTTTACGAAGTGCAACAAATGTTCACCACAGAATTCCCGAATAGCCTTTTCGGTGTATTCGCCCATATATTTAAATGTCAGCCGTTGTGAGTACAATGTAATCGAAGCCGATCGGCGCAATTGTCAGTTTGGTCGGTTTCGCGATGAATAAAGGCAGAGGTATTCTTTTAAAGAACAGTTGAAATCCCAAAGTTTGCAAGCTGAGTTCACTTGAACAAAAGGAAGAAGCCTCGATTACATCAGTAGCGTACCCAACACCTTAAATTATTCATTTGAACTGATTTTGATAAAAAAAATGTCATTTTTCGTTGCTTTTGGGGCATTTATAAGCATTTTAATAGCATTTGTTGATCACTTTTGGTAATGCTTTAGGTCATCAAAATCGGCCCCTAGTCATCACTATTTGAAGCAGTTCCAGTAAGGAAAACCTATCCGCTTTGGGTTTAAGCAGTGGGCGATGTGCTGCGCTGAAACAGGTTACTGTTACGATGCGGAATTATATGATGGAAAACACGAAACAATTGCAGTTAAATACACAGTTTAGGATCATCTGTAATGTTGAAAAATATGTCTGTACTCAAGAAAGCTTGCAACTATGCATTCTACTTTGACATTTTTTAACAGCTTTCACCTAATGAAAACATTGAAAGACAGGGCTACAGCGACTACAGGCACTGTACGATATCGTGAATAACTGTATTGTAAAAAATGATGAGGCAATGAAGAAATAATATAGAGGTGTCTTTATCTACAGAATAGATATTTACAGTGAATTATTTACTACTGTATGGAAATAATAAGTGTGTAAATATATTGAGAACTCATAAAGAAAAAGTAAATAGCTGGTCGAAAAGCGAACAGAAGAGATTGAACATTCCACAACCTCAGTGTGTACATGTATATAATATATAAATGGTTTGACAAACTAGATTGGTTGATCAATAAGCATAAAAAAAGAATTAGTAGGAAGAAATAGTATTTTCCTATCTCCACAAATTTAGTAGATATGTGTGTTATAAATGGAAATGAAACTCGTATTGAGTTTTCTTAACTTCAGGAGAAATATAACAAGAACATACTTGCAGACAACTCCAATTTATGATCTCAAAAGTGCAGGAAATCTTGAAGATGATACCCAACAAACGGGCCGCAGAATATCAAAAAAGATCCAGTGGGACATTATTTAGCGAGAACATAAGATGGTAAGCCCAGGAAATGCGCCATATGCAAGACAAATGTAAGAAAACAGTGGATGACATATAATGTGTGAA